ATAAATACCACTAAATACTGCTAAATTATGCTAATTCTATTGTTTTCTATTGTTTAATTAACACTATTTTGTAGTAARTAGTGGAAAGTGTTGCACACATTTAATGTTTGTACTCTATATATTTTTCTTTTAACATAAGTAAAATACTTGGGACTAATTASGTCAGAAACGTAAGTGGGCAATGCATTCTGGTAGTTAAAGTTATGACGTGAAAGTTCATGAAAATACACAATAAAATACACAGGAATACCGAAACAGCTTTATGAACGATTTCTCTCGATGTAAAAAATAGAAATCTTAGTGAAGACCACTTTGAGTATAACTATTTGCATGCAATCATCGATTTTCATGGCTTTAAACAAGTGCTRTTACATTTTTCACAGTCTTGTATTACATGTAACATTACTTCGTACTTAGATCATTTTACACGATTGAAAGGGAATCTGTAGTCGAGAAAATTAAAAAAAATAGCAATGAAAAACTCTCTTTGAARTTCAGTCTCGGCTTTGAATATCTTGGCTGATAAATAGTTAACATCATAATTATAYCCTCTAAACTGAAAAACGAGATATAATAATTGAAGTAACTTTGTGTGGACATTATTGCACCTGTTTACTGACATTATTTACCGATCACCATAGCAACCAGTAAAGTCACCATTCTTTAAGATCGCTTATCATGATTAAGAATCATACACCTCCAGAGTCTTCATAATACTCACAGATATATCATGCTACGTAACATTTTTMAAATATAGATATGGCCTTCTATATTTCCCTTCGGGAAAAAACATAGAACATCTGGAACTTAGCAGCAGAAAATTACTTATCAAAAACAGCGTGTTATKTATATATTCTTTATGAACAAAACGAATAATAATTCTTTCATCTTTTCTTCTATTTTATTATGTTTTCAATGTRTGAATTATGAACAAATAACAAAGCGGATATGTACTTTTCTTGTTTTTCAGTTTATTGTTATTCTCCCTAGAATTCTAATAAATGTTCGCTTAATCTATGTGCGTGAAATCCAAATATCTTCGGGCAATAGTAGATGTTAGTCTTGTACATCCTGACTGGCAAATGATATAGGCTCTGCGCGGTTAAAGCTGTATTTTCTCAAAAGGCGAGACTTAGGTGTTGTAAGCCTCCATATAGGATTTTCGACGGCAAAAATCTGAATCCTGTGGTTTCGTCTTAGAAAAGTAATAAACTTTATATGTATTAGAGTCGATTGTAAGATTTTACATGAGTAGGAAACAGGGACGACGATTCAATGACTGCACCGTAACCGTATCGGAAAC